ATTTTATGTTGATGTTAAATCTTTTAAGCTTTTTTTTTTTGTTAAAGAACTGACTCTAGAGTGCATATTTTGTGTTCATGATAAAACTATTAAAGAAAATATTACAATATTAAAGAACTGTTCTGATGAAAACATTTTAAATTTCCAGTGCACTCACATCAGAATAACTTATAGATTTGTTGTTAGAATAATAGATTAATCGAAAAAATAATCGTTAGATTAATCGATTAGAAAATAATCGTTTGGTACAGCACTACTCATAATTTTAAGATAAAAAGTTTTTTTTCAGCAGAGTGGCGTTAATGGGCTTCCATAGCTTAGCTCCATCGAAATGCTAAATGTTCTAAATATTTGCTCTTTTAGAATAATTAATCTTGAAAATCAAGGAGGTATTTCCTTAAATTAATTAATAAACAGAATCATACAAAGTTCACATTGATGCAACCAGATGCATCTACATAAAAAACAAAAATAAAACACATCTGCAGAGTCAGAAACAAAACTAAGGACGAACAGTTACAAAGAATAAAACTGCAGGAGGAAGAGGAGCCCAGAGGACAAAGTTTTAATWAAGATTTACGAGCCAGACTCAGGCTGACATGATGTTTTCCCGGTGAGGTGTCTGTTCTGCAGAGCACCTTCAGATTATTGATCTGATCAGAACTCAAACTCACAGACTGAGCCGTGCAGTCAAAGTCTCTGCTGCAGGAAACTGCTGACCTCACGAGCAAACACAAACTGAGACTCTGCTGACAAAAAAAAACTGAGCCCAGGACATCCTTGAATTTCAGGTAGTCAGCACCGGTCCATTTCACCGTCCCGTCCGTCACTGAGCCCGGATGTTTACAAATATGTGTCCAGTTTTTTTTTTTTTTTGGTCGTTCACCTCTTAATGAGGAACTATCTCTGTGAGATTAAATGCTGAGTCAGCATGTAAACTAGTTTAACCTCAGTTCTGTGATCACTGAAACACAAACCAGACTTCAGCTGAGGTGTTGCCTCTAAAGAAATCTGAGGGTCTCGGCGGGGTGGTGGGGTCTTTGACCCCGACGGTCCCACAGTGGATGAGACTATGTGGGGGGTTATGAGAAACTAGTGAGTCTTTGAAGACCGGCACCCAATTGTCTGTCACATAATACTTTGAGACAGATGGTCCGAGCTCAGAGCCCACAAACCGTCTGAGGGGGGACGAGGCCAGCTGGAGAAAATACCACCAGAGTCCAGAAAGACCCGGAGGGAGCTGCTGGGAAGTTCTGATGGTTTAACAACTCTGCTGTGTTTTTAAATCAYATCAGCAGAATATTTACTTAAGATTTACGCACAGACTAATCTGCTTCTCCTAGAAAAAAAGGAGGAGGAAAGGAGAGCTGAGCTTTCAGAGACTCCAGTGTTAAAATTCCGACACTGACTCTGAAACTGCAGATTTGTAATTACTGTTTATGCTTTAAAATGATTGGACGATGACAACGAATCACAATCAAACTGTCCAATCAGAGAGCAGACGGTTCTGTTACCTGCAGGCAACAACTGAACTCAKACGTTGAGTCCATCAGATTCAAGCTTCAAAACACAAACTAAATGTTTGTTTGTTTTCCTGGAAACTTTTTAAAGTCAGCTTCTAAACAAGACAAAAATAAATCTAACCATTTTGCAGACTGTGAGACATTTATCTGATCAAACAGTTAACAATTTAAAACATTTATCCGTTTTATATTTAGTATTATTTACACATACTTTACAGAGAGCTTTTTAGTTTCTTAAAAGATAAATAAATATGATTCTGATATTTGCATCTTTTAGCTAGCATTTACTTTGAGCTATCATCCTACTTTAAGCAAGTTAGCTTTTTTACTTTAATAATTTATTTTACCATTTGCCACTTTTAAATATTTACAAACTTTTTGTTGCATTAACTAGTGTTTTTCTATTTTAAGGTTTTAGCTAGCATTTCCTACATTAAGCTACTAACCAGATTTTTGCTACTTTTAGCTAGCTTTTCCCTTTAAGCTAGCCTCTTGCTATTTTAGCTAACCTTTTTATGCATTGAACTAGTGTTTTTCTCTTTTAAGCTTTTAGCTAGAATTTCCTACATTTAGCTAGATTTTTGCTACTTTTAGCTAGCTTTTTGATGCATTAAGCTAGTGTCTTGCTACCTGTCATGGACTAATCATTTATATCTGTTTCACCTTGACACTGTCCATTACTCATATCTTATGATAACTWATTTCGGCTCTTAATCTGTTTGTTCCAGACGTCAGGACTCCAGCATCGGACTGACCKCTCTTGTGCGATATATTAACTCTTTGAGCTGAGAGCCTGTCATTGGCTGATAGTAACATGAGTCGGATTGTGATTGGTTGTAAATTGTCACATGGTGTTAACATGAGGTTATATCATTGGTTTGCTGTCTGATGATGGTGGCCACAATTCAACAGACTTCCTTGATTTGTTTTCTGTTTATTGTTGCCCGGAATTAGATAATTCACGACCATACACGCAGACTTTCTGTGCATTTATTCCAACGTGTTTCTGCATTCTTGATAAACGTGTCCACGACAGTTTATTGGCGTTGTCGGCAGGATTTTTTTTTGTTTTATTGATCATTTAATTGGTGATTTAATGATCAGATGGGGGAGTGTGGTGGAACTAATACTTTTATGTTTAAGCTTTTAGCTGCCCACTTTTAGCTAATGTTTTGTTTTGTTTATTTATGATGCTTCTCTTAGCATTTAGCTTTTAGCTATGTTATGTGTATCAGCTCCCAGACTTTTAATTCTCTGGCTGATTAATTTTAATTTTGTTATTCACCAGTTTGAACTCATTTGTGATTTTTTTTCTGAAAAAAAAAAAGTTTTTTTGTAGTCTGCTTTTCATCATCTCTGTCTTCAGCTGAGCTTCCTGAACCTTTCACCTGTTTTTGTTACCTGCCTGCAATGGGTTCAGGAAATATTGGTGCAGATTTTATTCATGTTTAATAAATAATGTGTCGTATTAAAATAAACCTTCCTGACGAGAACCGAACGTTCCAGCTCAGCTCACAAAACAAAAATTCATTGTGTCCATTTTTCTAATCTTAGCTGCTCGTGGTCAAATTCCTCCCAACAGGTGAGGTTTTTCAGATTTGTTTGCTAAAACAAAACCTCTTTATTATTTTCACGGAGAATCTGGTTCTTTGTGAACCCTGGAATGTGGGAAATCCTGTTGGACCATTTTGTAAGAAGAATCGACTTCATTGTGCCTCGGATCACAGATGAGCCTAATGGGTTTGTGTGGTGGAACACATTKTTTTAAAGCCAATTTGCGAAACTGTTTTTTGAGAAAGTTACTAACCAGGGAGACCACTCCCTCTGGTGGGAGGGACTTGAGAGGGAGGGGGCGGAGCCTGCAGACCTGGTTCATTCATATATTCAAGGAAAAATAAAACATTTTTCTTAGAAGTTCCAAGTTTTGATTTAACTTTATATTTTTGAAGAGTGACCTTATAGCTTCATTAAAGCAGATTAAAATGTTTTCTATTGTATTTTATTTTTCAACTCTTCAACAAACAGCTACAGCAGAGACGTCTCCCACGAGCCGACACCGGGTTCTGTATAGAAACGGTTCGATTCTTTTATTTGAACCTTCACTCAGAGCAGGGCTTTCCCATGATGCCTCATTATCATAACAAGAGCCTTTCTGTCTGGTGCACACAGTAAATCTGTCACACACTCACGTGCACACAAAGAAAAGAGGCACCGCTGACTAAACGGGGATGGAGACGCTCAAAATGTAGAAATTAGGCAGAGAACTTCAGAGACATAAAGAAAACTGTGATTATTAGTCAAATAACGTATTTAATGGCACATTTCTCGGCTTAGATGTAAAATCTGGTCATAAGGAGGAGTTGTACTCTGCAGCTGAACCTGCTAATCATGTTTACAGCAGCATGTGGCTCAAACTTAGGAGCAACAAGGAAAAAATGAGAGGGAAGTAAAAAAAATAAAATAACCCAACCTACACCTCAGCACCTCCATCTGAGCTCCTTCTCCTCCTGTTTCAGCTAAGGTGCTAAATCCTCATTAGACCTGAGGAGGTATTTAGGGGGCCATCTGGTCCGGCCAGAGCCAGACTAAGTAAGATGGAGATGACCGGAAGACGCCATCTGTGTGAGGTTAAAAATGGGTTTCTGCTCCTAAAGTCATTGCGAAYGTGGAAATAATCCAAAAAATGTTTACAGTTTATCAGCCAAAAGTGACTGTTGTGACTTTTGGGTCACTGTTGCACAATTTATTACAATTTCTTTAGCTGGAAATATGAAAAACACCAAAAAGRAAACAGTTTGAATGACAGGAAATATCAGAACTTCTCCAAATATAAACTGCATTAACATTTACGTGATAAAATTTGGGGCAAAGATGWAYCTGTTATCACTTAAGGCAGGGCTAYTCAACTGGCGGCCCGCGGGCCACATCCGGCCTGCCAGTGACCAAAGTTTGGCCATTTGATTCATTCATCTCTTAAGCACAAAACCCCCATTTTCTACTTCAATTACTCTAAGTTCTTTTAGTTACACATGGACATGTTTGGTAAATTACAGAAACTTGACTAGAAGCTGGTAACAAACTTTTTTTAAATTAGTTTAAAATTTTGACAAGTCAGAGATGTCAAAATAATGTGTTGTTTTTGTTTTTGATATTGTTTAATTATCACTATTTTTATAGGGTTCTGTATGTTGTATTCATGATTAAATGCAGCAAAATAAACAACTTCAAAAGTAGCAGATCTTTGTAATAGTTGGTTTATTTACATAACTTTAATAGCTGGATGTTCGGCCMCTGAGCTGAGTAATTTAGGTGAATAGTTGTGTAAAAACTCACATCCTAAATTCAGCTTAAAATCTGCTAAACAGGCTGAGTTGTCGCCATTTTTATGTTTTAAACAGCTGACTATAGCAGCCATCTTTAATCAAGTTGAAGGTAGCTGTGATCATCACTTCCTGTATGTTTGTTTAAACTCCGCCCACTGGTTCATGAGATATTTTACTAACAGAGAAATGTCTAAAATAATGTTTGATTAAATAAAGTTTCAGTTTCACCTCTGTGGGCAGACAGATCATCCACGGACCTCCTGAGAGGACCAGTTTTCTCCTCTTTGAAGAGGAGGTGATGATGAAGGAGGTGGTGGTCCGGACTCCCCTGGCTGCCGGCGCTGGACGTGCTGCTCCCGTCCCCGCCGTCCCGCGGCTGCAGGCTGCTGGACTGGCTGTCGATGGAGCTCCGGGAGCCGGCTCCGCTCCTCTCCTCGTCCAGCATGAGCACCAGCTCCTTCAGCTCGAAGTTCTCCGCCCTCAGCGCCTCCTGGCCGGCCTCCAGCTCCGTCAGCTTCTGCTGGTACAGGACCAGGTCCCTCCACAGGACCCCGGCCGTGTGGCGTCCGAAGCGCTGCCACTCCCGGGACACCTTCCTGCCCTTCTGCCGGTCGTCGTCCAGGAAGCAGCAGAGCTCGCGCAGCTCCTGGTTGTCCTCCTGCAGCCTCTGGTTCACCTCCTTCAGGCTCCGGATCTCGCGGAGGTGGACCTGCAGGCTCCGGTTCACGTCCTTCATCAGGTTGCCGTGCTCCAGCATCAGGTCCAAGCTGCGGGTCTCCAGGCTCCTCAGGGTTCGGATCAGGTCCTCCTTCCCCAGCCTCAGCAGATCCTCGTCGGGCAGCCGGAGCAGGTCCGCCGAGTCCATGTCGAAGGTTTCTATTAGGTCTAAGTTATTACGAAAAGTAGATCCATCACGATCATGTCCAGATCCAGAACCAGAACCAGAACCAGAACCTCTGCTTGTTAGCCGCGGGAGGAGTTCGACAGACTTTCTATCTTTCCTGTAACTGAAGGTGAGGAGAGAGAGAGAGAGAGAGAGAGAGAGAGAGAGAGAGAGAGAGAGAGAGAG